TGGTCTACTTAAGGCGTGAAGATTTGCGGCAGAGGGCTTATCTTTATTAAAGATATCTAAGCATTTTGGACAACGTTGAGCGCTCCAGGGTTTGCTCTGAACAAGAGGGCGCAAGGGACTCAGGAGTTGGCGGGGGCCTTTGGAGAGAGCAGTGGATCTAAGGATCTGGAATAGTGACAGATATGAGCAATTTTAATTTTGTAGGATGACTACAGGGGCACAGCATGATGTACTGTGGTCCTGTTTTAACTTACCCTGTCACTTGTTTATATCTCAATGTTATGTCACGCTCTTATCTACCTATTTGACAGCATACCCATGCAAGGTGTTGGGGAAAAGGGTGCCAGATGTGGGTGACTTGCCTAGTGAGCAAAGGGAGATGGCGCTAGAAGCGGTGCACAATAGCTACTTAAATACATCTCAACGCCTGTCCCAGTTATATTTTACTGTTGATGATATACTACACCCCTTTGAAATTATTTAATTTGGGCCTCCTTAAGGAATGACTATGTCCCAAATGTGGCAGGGATTATGGGCGCTCTGATACACGTGTTATAATGCTGCCCGAAATTGCACAGATATTGGGAGGCAGTTTTTAATACCATTAATAAAGCATTCCAAACTACCCTTCCTCTGGACCGAGTGTTGTATCCTAGGCATAGTTGATAAGGTGATAGTGATCCAGCTTGACAGGGAGACGGTCTCTAGAGCACTATTTCAGCCACGTAAAGTTTACTACTCCATTGGAAAAGCACTTCCGCTCCTACTCTTAAAGAATGGGTGGAACACATGGGTACTACCCTCAGATATGAGTGGGTTATTTACCATCATAGGGGTTGTCCGGCTAAAATTAACAAGGTCTGGGATGGTTGGCTGGATATTCCTGGCCTAGCTCAGGTGAACCTAGTCATGGACAGATTATTATGTTGATCTCTTTGTATCAATATCTACTGTATCCTACCACCTGCAGGCATAGGCTCTCTCAAGTGCGCAGTAGGATGGTGGGGCAATTCTCAATGACCCTGCAGTAGGGCATAGATTTTGTCTAGTACTTCCTTGGTATGCGGTTTACTGTACCTTTGAAACTCTATTGTAACAGTCTAGTCTCTATGACTGAACATTCTGGAACATGTTATTATGTATACAGTATATGCAATTGTTTCAATAATGTTCTTTTTCACAAAAAAAAAAAAAAAAAAAAAAACTTACTTAACTATGTATCTTTTATCTTACTATACAGTTAAATTCAGGTTGTGCAGTGCTGGCTCCTACTTTTTTTTTTTAAGGTGGCTCATAATTCTGGATGAGATTTTTCCAGGCTTCTCCTAAATTGTAGCTAAACCCAAGAACAAACATTTAATATACTGCAGCTTAGAAGACCTTGGATGCACTAGCTGCATTTTATTACATTTTTCACCTTTTGATTTTGCTAGTAATACTTTCTGTCCTAAGCTGACATCACTGTCACTATGGCAGAACTACAGAACACTTCCCCATTGTCTCCTCTTAACATTGGGTGAGATGTGTTCTGTAGTTCACAGAGAACTGGGAACAACAGTCAAGAGAGGCAGAGAAAATATGAAGTTGGCTCTCATATTTTTAGCAGGATTAACAAGTAGGGAGATCCTACTGAACTCACCACCTTTTCTAGTAAGAACAAAAAACAAAACCAAAGCGTTTTGCAAATGGCAGCAGTGCTAAGCAAGTGAACAGCCCTGTGTGGTCAATGGCCAGAAGGGAAGATGCTTGGCACAGGACCTGGAAGACTGCAACTATCACTGTAATAGTGGTGACTACTACAGTGCTTTCCACCTTTCCCAGTGGTCCCTCAAGTATCAAATATGCATACTTACACTGGTTCAAGGTGGAACAGTAACTATGTGTTTTTCACTTTTTTTTAGATTATTAAATGGGAAATGAATGTTTAACTGCTTCCAAAGGGGGTTTGACCAAAAAATATTTTAGTTCCACAGTAGAAGTTTACCCTTTTCAGCACTATACAAAATTTTGGCTGACGTTCCCTTAACACTGGATGTTAAAAGCCTCTGGGAGGTCTTCTACAGAGGAATATACACTGTGGTGTCCTCTTATCAAGCAGTGGTAAAAGACCGCTGCTCAGTTCTCCGGAATTCTCGGAGAACACAGTTCTTCTGTGAATGCCTTTGATGAAATCTCTGAATGAAGGGAGAATAATCTACAAACGCTGGAAAATGGCTGCTTTTACTATAATCTCGCGAGATTACAGTAAGAGATCAAAACACAGTTTACTACGCAGAGGTAAATTATCGCTGCTTAGTTTGCGGTTCCTCAGATTCTCCAGCTCTGGGCTGGAGAATCTGGAGGGAGAACACAGATCGCCAGTGAAGGGCTGACATCGCTCCTTCATACACTGGCCATCTGTGTGCTGAGATGATCAGCAGAAAACATTTTCTCCGCTGATTTCCTGAGTGTCAAACTGTGAATGACCAGAGAGTAGCTGCGATCCTCTGAATCGCAGCTATTCTCTGTGTCATAAACGGACACCTATATTGCCAAAAGTATTGGGACACCACTCCAAATCATTGGATTCAGACGTTCCTATGACCTCCATGGGCACAGATGTATAAAATCAAGCACCTAAGCATGCAGACTACTTCTACAAACACTTGTGAAAGAATGGGTCGCTCTCAGGAGCTCAGTGAATTCAAGCGTGGTACCGTGATAGGTTGCCACCTGTGCAATATGTCCATCCGTGACATTTCCTTGTTACTAAATATTCCACGCTCAACTGTTAGTGGTATTATAACAAAGTGGAAGCAACTGGGAACAACAGCAACTCAGCCACAAAGTGGAAGGCCACGTAAAATGATAGAGCGGGGTCAGCGCATGCTGAGGCGCACAGAAGTTGCCAAATGTCTGCAGAGTCAATAGCTAAAATCCTCCACACTTCATATGGCCTTCAGATTAGCACAACAACAGTGCATAGAGAGCTTCATGGAATGGGTTTCCATGGCCGACCAGCTGCATCCAAGCCTTACATCACCAAGTGCAATGCAAAGTGTTGGATGCAGTGGTGTAAAGTACACCGCCACTGGACTCTAGAGCAGTGGAGACGTGTTCTCTGAAGTGACCAATCACGCTTCTGTCTGGCAATCCGATGGACATGTCTGGGTTTGGTGATTGCCTGACTGCATTGTGCCAAGTGTAAAGTTTGGTGGAGGGGGGATTATGGTGTGGGGTTGGGCTTGGCCCCTTAGTTCCAATGAAGGGAACTCTTAAGGTGTCATCATACCAAGACATTTTGGAAAATATTATGCTCCCAACTTTGTGGGAACAGTTTGGGGATGGTCCCTTCTTGTTCCAACATGACTGCCCACCAGTGCACAAAGCAAGGTCCATAAAGACATAGATGAGGGAGTTTGGGGTGGAGGAATTTGACTGGTCTTGACAGAGTTCTGTCCTCAACCCGATAAAACACCTCTGGAACGAATTAGAGTGGAGACTGTGAGCCAGGCCTTCTCGTCTGACATCAGTGCCTGATGCGCTTCTGGAAGAATGGTCAAACATTCCCATAGACACACTCCTAAACCTTGTGGGCAGCCTTCCCAGAAGAGTTGAAGCTGTTATAGCTGCAAAGGGCGGGGCCAACTCAATATTGAACCCTACGGACTAAGACTGGGATGCCATTAAAGTTCATGTGCGTGGAAAGGCAGGCCGACCAATACTTTTGGCAATATAGTGTATGTAGTACATTTTTTAACCTTGAATGACATTAACAGCAAACAGCGAAATGTTTTTGCACTCCAGCATGCACAAAAATTGCCACTTAGTTGAAAGCATGATATAGAACTGGCCATGCAGAGATAAAAAAGGTAAACTGAACCTCTCCAAAACCGAGCTCCTAGTCTTCCCCCCAGCCTGCACACCACCCCCCACTGACTTCTCCATCACATCCAACAATGCCACTATCAGGCCTGCCCCGCAGGTCAGAGTACTTGGTGTCATTCTGGACTCCAACCTATCCTTCCAGCCCCAAGTCCAATCACTAACAAACTCATGCAGACTCCACCTCCGCAACATCGCCAAAATCCACACGTTTCTAACCCCAGAAACCACTAAACAGCTCATCCACTCCCTCATCATATCACGACTCGATTACTGCAACTCCCTCCTCACTGGCCTGCCTCGCCACAGGCTATCCCCGCTTCAGTCGATCCTGAACACGGCAGCCAGACTCATTCACCTCACCAACCACTCCGTTTCCGCCACTCCCCTCTGCCAATCTCTCCACTGGCTTCTGATTGCACAACGGATCAAATTCAAAATCCTAACACTGACATACAAAGCTGTCCATCATACTGCCCCAAACTACATCACCGACCTAATAGCCAAGTACCGCCCAACACGCACACTCCGCTCCTCACAAGACCTCCTTCTCTCTAGTTCCCTGGTCTCCTCCTCCCATGCCCGCCTCTAGGATTTCTCCAGGACATCACCTATCCTCTGGAACTCCCTACCCAAATCCATCAGACTATCACCTACTCTCCTCTCATTTAGGTGCACCCTGAAAACCCACCTCTTCAGGGAAGCCTACCCCACCCTCTGCTAATTGCCGACCTCCTCCACTCTTCCTACCACTCCATTCCCCACAGCTATCTCCTCCTGTACCACTATCCCCTCCCTCCTAGATTGTAAGCTCGAAAGAGCAGGGCCCTCGAACCCCTCGTGTATCACATTGTATTGTTTTCATACTGTCGCATGTTCGGTCTCCCTTTGTAATGTACAGTGCTGAGTGAACTGTTGGCGCTTCATAAATACTGTATAATAATAATACCCTAGATGTGCTACAGAATATGCTAAAAAATATAAACCAGTGACAAAATAAATTAAATTATTCGACTGGGAAACTACTGCACCACCCTTGAACTACCGAATCCTGCGATGCAACACAGTGAAGCACTTTGGTCACAAATTCAGAGTCAAACTGAACTGAAGCAAGAAACAACCCTTAACCTCCTTACCTTAACTTCTGCAGCCATTTTTTCACTTGCAAAACCATCCACGGAAAGCTAAAAGTAAAAATAAGAATGTCAACTCAAACCACAAGCACCTGTAAATGATATATAAAGTAATAGTTGATCATCTTACTTTTATCAGTCGGGAGATAAGAAAGCCACCTTGGTACCGGTTATGTAGTTCTTCCCAGTTTTCCTTCACAAAAGTCCATGCTGCCTTTCTACCTTGCTTACTAGCCCCTGCAACCCCTCCAATTACAGATACTGTATCTTGTGGACGTACCTCTTCCTATAAATAAATAAAAAAAAATCCTTAGTAACTATTTAATAGCTCAAGTTTAAACTGACAGAGTCCCAGAACTATCACACCTGTAGCACTCATTCGTGCTGACAGTCATAGAAACATAGAAAAGTGATGGCAAAAAAAGACTGAGCGGTCCATCGAGTCTGACCGTTTTTTTTTGTTAACTTTTTCAAACAGTTCCATAGAGTCCCTTCTGTACTGTTCATTGTGAGCAGTAATAGACCATTTAATCAGTGTTATTTGTTTTTCCAGTTCATAACTTTTGGACGATAGGCAAGAACAATACAACAGGTAAAAGTGATCAGTGCCCTCACAGGAACTGCCAACAACGTGACAGAAATACATGGCTATTATAATAAATGCAAAAAGATGAATGAGAGCTCCGAATAGCCTATATTAGACAGGATGCTGTATATTTGGGTCAAGCCGCCAGAAAAAATGTAATTGCAAAAAATAGCAATTTAAACTTGTAAACAAAACATCCCCGAAAATACTTGATCTCAAAGTAGTTAAGACAATGCCCTCCATCCTCTCCAATTCACAGGCTCTCCACTCATCCCAAAACCTCTAGCCCCCAATCCCTAATACATCATGGTCCGTTTCACATCAAAGCCCCCCCCCCCCCCCCCCCCCCCCACATTAAACTGCTCCCTTCACATCACAGCCCTCCCTTCATATCACGTTTGTCAGTCCCTTTAGATCAATCCTCCCCTCTTCACAGCCCTACCTTATACAACAGGGCAGAGGCACAGCAGATCTGGATGAAGGCCAGGAGCTGCCCAACTTTTCATGTTAACAAGTGGGTGACTGGTTACAAAGTTGGGCAACTCCTACTTTCTGTCCAGACCTGTAGCACTTCCTGCCCTCTACAGTTCTGTGAGGGTGGATTCTGCAGCAGGCGGGGAAAGACACCCAGGAAGAAGTCACCCAGGTTTCTAAGTGAGTGTCGGTGTGACCGGCAGGAGGAGAGCCATCCTACGTGTCACCAGCAGCAGTCCCTGACTGACAGTGAGCTAACGATTCCCAGGACCCCAGTAGGATTACGGTTGCAGAGCAGTCTCATATTCAGAGGAGGGAGTCTCTTCCCATGCTGTCTGTCTGGTCCATCTAAAGGGGGCTTCTTGCAGATCCTTGGTCAATATACCATTCAACACATTGCGCTTTAAATATGCACATCTGGTGAGTGTGCATTTGTATCAATCTCCCGCACGGATAAAAGTCACATGGAATAATATGACACCACCTGTGCAATAGGACCCGTTTGCAGCACCATATTCTGACTGGTGTTTGTCAGACCTTCACCATCTTATGAACACTTTTTTTTTTGTTTTAAGACTTTCACAAATGCACTTGTTTTATTGCGCTAATCATAGTGTTTCATTCACCTATATTTGTTATTACTTACATTTATTATTGATTTAATATTATCACTATTCATTTAAAATTATTATGCATTTTTAGTTCTGGACTGTATCATTCTTTTTTTAGCGCTGCATTACATATAAGGTCTAGGGTTCTTTTTAGTGCATTTGCGGCTGATCTTATTAAATCACTGAGCGCTCGCTGTCCCTTTGTGCACATCAACGTCTAGTGCTAGGGAATTCTTTAGAGACCAGACCAAATGTTGCAGGAGGTAACCATCAATGCCCAAACTAGACTAGTACATTAAGCCGATGCTGCTGTCCTGAGATTGGGTAATCTTGCAACTGCGCGGAAAAAAAAAAATATAAAACAAAAAGGATGCAAAGGTCTAGTGCATAATCAACAGCACTTTAATAAAGCATAAAGTACATACTGACAAGGGCTGTGAAGAAGGGGGTATATACCCAAAACACATCAGCTGGTTTTACAATGTTCTTTTGGACCGCATGAATTCCATTGTGTTGAAGACCTATTGATTCCTGAGTTTATGTACAACACTGCTCTTGTAAATATGTACTTTTCTATTGTTCAGTACAGTGCTGTTGATAATGCACTAGGCATTTCCGTCCTTTTTTTTAATATTTTTTTTTCATGAAGATGGGGATGTGTGCAAGTAAGCATGCTTGTCAACAAAGGCCAGGAGATCCCCCCCGCTGAAGGGAGGCAATGATTGACCTGACAGATTCCATGGACATTTCCACACTCAAATCTTCAGATCCAAGATTGGACACATGCCACCTTTTCCCTTGGAAACCGTAAAAAAATTTGAACAGAACCCTAAAAACCCTTTCCTTGGTTGTGATAGGGAAAACAACCCCAGAGAAAGCAGCTTCTGCAGGGTAGTTTACACATTCTCTAGTCTTTGCCTTCAGGCTCTCAAATGTGCTCTCCTCTCTGCAGAGACGGAAACTCCAGTTTGTAACCCCTGGAAATGTCTAGGACCCAAAGAGCTGTAAAGCCCTAGGTCCAGATGTCTGCAAAGACCGAATGACCTCCGCTTTGTGAGGAGAGCTCAGAGACAGATTTGGTAGTATTTGGATTCCAGGTTTGACAGAACTGGGTATTTAAAAAAAACAAAAAACAAATATGGGTCCCAGAATCCATGGGCCTATTAGTTGGGGGGTTTTGCCTACTGTTTACTAGGCAAAGGGGTACTCTTGCCAGTGGAGACTTCCTTGATGTAGGTGTCCCATGAATATATTAAAGAGTCCTACCCCGCCGAAGGGCATCCTCTTGAGGCTCCATAGATCAGCACAGAGGTGCAACAAACTGGAGAAACAAACCTTGCAGCCCATACTTCATGGTTGTGACACTTCAAGTGCCGCAACCCGTGCCTCCAAGCTAAAGCACATTAAAAGCGCTGCAAGCTGTGTTTTCTGCAGGTGCAACACTCCAAAGGAGGGTAGCAGCCTATAATTCACCTTGACCCCAAGGGGAATTGGGATAACAGCAGCCTGGGAACATGTTTAACCACTTCAATACTAAACACAGCGCTGTAATACTTTGAATGACAATTACTCAGTCATGCAACACTACCCAAATTAATTTTTTTCTTTTTAGACAGTCAGTGTTGATGGGGGAATCCCTCTAGCAGCACTATTGTGTTCTGCCAGCTGAGAGCCTTCTCCTTGCACTTTGATAAAATTCTTCTCCAACATGAGAAACGATGGATATATAGAATGGACACCTTAATCCCTAAAGGGCTAAAAAACAAATTAAATTTTGGGGCATTCCTTTAACAGCAAAATCATTATACCCTAAATTATTGTCTGGTCCTCACTGGTACCCCTTGACCCCAATGGCCATTGAGGGTCTTTGGATGGCTGGTCTATTTTTCCAGGTCTGTGTCTTAGCCTTTATTATTTTTTAGATATTTGGATCAGGAAAATTACCTTCTTTCATAGGGCCTTTTCCCTTAAATTTGCTTCAAAAGTGACCTGATCGCAGGAACAAATTGATAGGTAGAGACCTCTCCTAGGGAGATCATATTCCCTGCACCGAAAGGTAAACTCCAATCTGTCATGTTGGTGCCTTCCATGCAAGGGGGGGGGAATACACTTCCCTACCCTCAAACCTTTGGGGAGACATCCACCTGACCAGAGACTCAAGAATGCTGGGATGCAAGGACATCGTGTGTCCCCCTGTCTCATGCCATCAGAACATTCCGCTGCAGAGAATGTACAAAAGGAATCATCTCGATTGACGCAACCATCTTCCCCAAAAATCACATGCAGAGACAAATTAAGGAATATCTCAGAACCCAGAGCGAAGCCACGATTTCCTGCTTGCAACAAACACAAGATTTTCCTTCAGCAGCTAAAATATGTGAATACCTGCAGAAGAGACACACCCAAACAGAATTTATTCAGAATCAAGTAAGGGAAGAAATTGGTCGTGTATAATCTTGTCACATATTCTGACCAGGACGAGAAAACACTGAGGTGGCGAGGAGCTCTTAGACAAGCCATGGATGGTGTGAATTTCTCCTGCAACCATGAGTTACAGTGTTGGCGGTGGAGTCCCTCCCGCTGAGCCATTATGTTCTCCCGGCGGACAGTGGGGGGGGGGGGGGGGGGGGGGGATGGGGGGGGGGAATGGCAGATGAAGGCATCTGTGATTATTGTTAGTGGCCAACTTGGGTGCATTCAGCAGGAACCGGATGAGATTCGAACCGCCTATAGCAGGCTTTATTCTTTTCTGTTTCCTCTCTAAATCAAGTAAGAGGAGCTAAGGTCTCCCATAAAAAAAAAAAAAACGTGCTGCAGGACCTAATTATAAGTGCATCTGCATTTACAGGTTTCTATTAGTCACCCCTTCAAGATTCTACAAATAACCAGCAAACACAAATGCTCCTGCGCTTGGGGATGGACTCGATGCAGGCTACAACCACATAAGGAATGTCCTGGAACATGCACACCTTGCTGCCCTCAAATGGACTGGAGGAATCCAAATATACTGAATGAGGAAAGAAAAAACAGAGGGCGCACAGGCCTAGTGCATTACCATAAAAAATGTTTAATAAAAAATAAAGTAGGTGTTGTACTGACAAACGACAATATAGTCAAGGCACATCATAAATAACAGCTGGGTCAACACCACGCTGAGTAACAGTCCGCAATAGGGAGTATAGACATCCAAAAGGCTGACGCGTTTCGAGGACTTGCCTCTTCCTCAGAGCCATGCGGACTGTTATTCAGCGCGGTGTTGACCCAGCTGTTCTTTATGTTGTGCCTTGACTATATTGTCGTTTGTGAGTACAACACATACTTTATTTTTTATTAAACATTTTTTATGGTAATGCACTAGGCCTGTGCGCCCTCTGTTTTTTCTTTCCTCAAGGTTCTACAAATGCCTGTTGACCCGTCCAGTTGAGAAAGAAATTTTAAACACTGTATAAACCTATATTTCATTTTATATGCTTTGCTGAAGCCAACATCCTTGGCATCATACTAACTCTTCTGCAACATACTCACGTCCCTTAAAATGCCACTCATGTAGGTTGTGCCTGCTTGCACTACAGAGATGAGAACATGTTGTAGGGTGTGAGGTTATCAGCATTGTCTCTGCTGATTCACAAACTGTATCCTATCAATTAGGAGCTGGCCACACCTAGCCCTGTCCACTGCTTTATGGATTGATAGCACCCTTTGTTGCTGAAACCCTCCCACCATGAGCTGCAGTGTCTGAGAAGAGAAGCATATGAGACAAGACAAACTGGTTGTCAGAGGAAGGTAAAGAAATGTTTTACTTTAAGAGGTCTTTGCGTCACATACTGTAGTGACTGGATTTGAGACTTGTTTAGACTGTCATACAGAATCCTTTAAAAAAGTACTTTAACCCCTTCACGCCTAAGGGTAAAACAAGTCTAAATGCCTAAGCACAATTTTGCAAAGTTGACATGTGTTAGTAAAACCGTACATATCATCACAGCTACTTTGTACATCCAGGTAGATTATACCTTGCTTTTTTTCAGGACAAATTGGGCTTTCATTTGGTGGTAAATGGTAATGGATATCTCCTGATTTTTTTTTTTATTATCAAAGGAAAACTGACCCAAAATAGTAAAAAAAAAACCAAAACTTTTTTTTATTTAGCTGTGTGTTTGTTACTACCATAACCTACCACCAAAGAACAACCCACAATAAATTCTCCAGCTCTTGACGATCGCAGCAATACCATATATGTGTATGTTATTTGTTGTTTGTACCCGTAGTACAGCCCAGAAACAATAGTGCACATTTTGTTTTTGTCTTTCTACTTAAAACACACTGACACCAAATTTTTTTTTTTTTTTTTAAATCCTGACCTTGACCTAAACACAAACCCTGGCACTGAACTAGATCAAACCTTGTTCTAGGTATTTTTTCTTTATTTTTATTTTTTAATATTTATCTTCTTTTTTTTTTTTTACAAAATTTTTTCCCCCCCCTCTATGCCAGGAGTTAGAGAGATACAATGCATCTCTCTCCTCCATTCATAGAGAGAAAAACAAAAAAAGGGGCCGGGCTGTACATTGACTGATCACTCTGATAGCCAATCAGAGGCTATCACAGCGATCATGTGACCCAGAATCAGGAGTCCCGGGTCCCGATCGTTAGAACGGGACCCGGGGCTCTCAGTGACACCGCAGTCTTTGTGCTGGGAGCGTGCTGTGCGGCGCACTCCCAGTACAAAGACAGGTACGCAAATATGCGGCCCCACAGAAAAAAGCCCCGTTCTGTGAGACCGCATATTTGTGTTACATCAACGTTGAGAGGTTAAGACCAAGTATAACAGGCAAGAATTAATTATTCCAAAAATTGGTTTAGCCAGAACCAATGTTTGGCATTGTAGCTCTGCAAGCATTCCTTAAGATATGAAAACTTAAAATATTAAAATGATGAAAACTCACCGAAAGGGAGAAATTTAGCACCTTCTGGATTAACTCTGTGGAACAAATGGCTCCTAGAACCCGCTCAATCCTATTTCTTTCTTCTTGCATGTCAGCTTGTTTGTGGAGCTGAAAAAAGATAAGGACTAACTGTAGTAAGAAGGTATGTTAAACAATGCCAACCATATAGTGAATTGGTTAAATCACATACACAGGAAACCCAATTAAAAAAAAAGTAATCTGCAAGATGTTGCAGCTGCTGACCACATTGACCTTGAGGCCCAGTATTACACTCCAGGGAAAGAGTCAAAAAAGCGTGCACTGCGTCAGAAAAGCAAGGATCCACATGCTTCAAGGCATAGGTCTAGACAATAGCTTTAAAAAGGAGAGATTTCTTTAGCGTGGACTGGAGCTTGGCACTGGTAAAACTATGTTTCAAAGCAGTATTATACCCAAAAGCAACATTTAATATATTGCAGCTTACAAATTCTTAGATGTGATGGCTGTTAGAAGTTTTTCAACAGAACAAGCTGTCTTGCAGATGTAATAGAGGGTTGAGACAAACCATTTACCACGGAGAGGTGTACAATGACCAACATTTATTCATTTATGAAAAACCTTTATCCAAAAGGAATAAAGCTGTTGTCCACAGTGCTTATAAAGTGTTAGCTGGGAGTTTGTTTTCAATTTGTCACTAAATCTGCAAGTACATCTAACACTCCCCTCCCCCCAGACTGACAACGCTGCTGCCCAAAAGGTGCCTCTGTTCCTCCTTCATCCAGAGTGGTGGCACTCTAATACAGGAGATGTGTTACTGACCAGATCAGCGGGTGAATCAGAGGGTAAAAAAGCCTAACAAAAAAAAACTAATGCAGCCACCAAATCTAAAGATTGGTAAGCTGTGTTCTCGGTGTCCCACAAAGCTGGTGTAGCTGTCCAAGAATATGAAATCTGCGCTCTCTTTCTGCAGGGCTTCTGGGATGGATCAAAAAGTTTCTGACCGATCAGTGCCAGCCACCTTTCTAGAGGCACAAGCTCTCTATTTTTAAAGTATCAAGAAATGGCTGCAGAAGACTGTCCCTGTCTGGAAAGTAGAGTCACTGACTCTTCACCTTGACTTTAAAGCGGAGCTCCACGCAAAAGGGGAAGTTCCGCTTGAAGGACTGCTCCCCCGCACCCCATTAAGGATTGGCACCTTTGGGGGGGGGGGGGTAGCGGGTAGCCGAATTTGGCAGGCACCCGCTCCCACTTCCGGTCCTAAGTGATCGGAAACGGAAGGTGTCCTCCCTCCCTGCAGTCTTTTGGGACACGTGACAGGTCCCAGAAGACTTCAGAAAGCGCAGTGCTACTCGCACATGCGCAGTGGGTACTCAGCTGTGAAGCCGCAAGCAGTCACAGCCGGGTGCCCACACTGAATATGCTGGCCTCCTGGAATACAGGAAGGCCGGTGAAGCGAGCTGCGGGGGACACCGTGGGACAGGTTGTTATTTAAAAGTCAGCAGCTACAGTTTTTGTAGCTGCTGACTTATTTTTTGACAGGATGAGTGGAACTCCGCTTTACGTGAGGGTCCAATCATCTTGTGGGCAGCATTTTATATAATAATTTAGAATATAAAAGTTCTGTGTCTCTCGAAAAAAAAAAAACCCAAAACATTTGAGCATTTAACCAGTTGCCCGCCGCCCTATAGCAGACATACTTCTACAGGACGGCAGGGCTTCGCAAACTCACATATTTATACAGTATATATGATTTGCATTTCCGGGAAGGGGTGCGTGCGCGCGCCGCCCTACCTGCGCCACTGTTGGCGGCTACAGATGTCAATCACAGGGTCCCGGGTGAAAAAATCTCCAGCAGCACCCGGCGATCGCCGAACAACACTGACAGGGGACAGACCTTTGTGTAAACACAGGTCTCCCTCCTGCCAGCAGTAACATGCTGCTGTGTATTTCTCTGCACAACACAGAAATACACAGTAGCATGTTTTCCAAGTAAAACACACACACCTGCCCAGGGTCATTAGTACAGTGTCAGTGCTTTTATTAGCACTGTATTGGTGTCACTGGCAGTTAGTCAGTTCCCCCCCAGTGTCAGAATGCCCGCCGCAGTCCTGCTATAAGTCGCTGCTTGCCGCCATTACTAGTATAAACATTTTTTTTTTTAAAATTCCAGTATATATACACCGCCATTTGTAGATGCTATAACTTTCATGTAAACAAATTCATTTACACGTAGTGGGATTTTTATTAACCAAAGACATAGTAAAATATATTTTGACCTAAATTGTGTACGAAATTTTATTTTTAAAATTCTTTACTGGATCTATTTAATTGCAAAAAGTAAAAAAAAAAAAAAAAAAAAAATGTGTTTTTTCAAAATGGTTGTTTTTTTTTGTTTATAGCACAAAAAATAAAAACCGCACAGGTGATCAAATACCACCAAAAGAAAGCTCTATTTGTGGGGGAAAAAGATGTAAATTTTATTTTGATGCAGCATTGCATGACCGCGCAATAGTCAAAGTAACGTAGCACCGTATCGCAAAAAATGGCCTAGTCAGGAAGGGGGGTTAATCCTCTGGAACGCAAGTGGTCAAAGAGCAACAGAACTCTGGAAGTGTTCCCCAAAAAAGGCAAGCGGAGGGCAAAAAAAAAAAACAGTCAACATCATTGTATGTGTTCACTGTGCAGATGATCGCTTTTCCATTACTGCATTTCCATGCCCTGTGTCTGCGTGGTGGTGGCCATCTAGGTAGAAGCAAGGCTTTTGCTTCAAGTCAAGAACAGTGAGCACCAAAGCAGTGATATCGCCAAATCTGACGAGCCTTGAAGTGAGAAGCATCAATGCCAGATCTTACACTGCAGATATACAGCGTTGAGGCTTTAATCACTCCCCTCATTACCAAAGTTTTCCCTAAACTCTTCATTTTTTGAGTTCTACTTTAATAACATGTCTTATGTGACAACTGACCTTTAACATCGTATCCAACGTTGTGCTGTCTCCATGCTTCAGAACAGTTACATAAACCTAAGAGGAAAACAAATGTTGATATTATTAGTTGTTTCATACATGACAAAAAAAATCAAAAATAAAGTGGTAACGGGAGAAGAACTAACCGGGCTTCGGAGATCAGCACTTAATGTGTTCTTTCCTTCAACATGGTCCTTAAACCTACGGCGAGCTTCCTCCAGGGTAGGTTTATGGCCAGCCTTTCCTAACTTCCCTAATACTAGGCCTCGCAGCAAAGCGTCCAGATGTCCTAAGGAAATAAACAATTAAAGCCTGCAAATCACACACAAAAATATTAGTGATCACATTCCTCAACCAGCTGCAATCACAATGTATAAAATAAAGAGTAAAAAACGTTGGCAAAAAGGGAATTTACTGAAAACACAGGAGTGGCAGTCATTCTCTGGAATTTTAGTTAACAAATTGGTTGTAAACCTCAGACATGAAATATGAACAAAGCATATCCCTCTGCAGTGTGTACTTGTCTCAATGAAGAGCACTAAGTGTCATTTCTGTCTGCTGATTCGTTCATCTGCTATCAGCATGAGTCACTTCTGACTAGTTTTCCTGACACCAAGAGAAAAATGGTGACAGGTGAGGGACCCCCAGCAGACTGACAGCTTCAGCTCTGTTTCTGTAAGCGGAGTCTCCTTCCCACCACCCTATAGCAGAAATACTGCTATAGTGCAGCAGGGGTGTACAAAATCACGCATATATTCAGCTGTCAATCACCGGGTCCCAGACGGTGATTACTCGCTGGGACCTGGTGTTAGCTGAGTATTACCAATGGGGGAGAGAACTGTATGTAAACAATACAGTTCTCTCCTCTGTCAGCTCCTGCACACTGCTTTGTATGGCATAGCAGAGCAATACAAAGCACACTGCTTACAGTTGAAAAACACACACAGCTTACTGTGAAACAGCACACAGTTAATCCTTTGATCGTCCCACATGTTAACCCCTTCCTGCCCAGTGCCATTAGTACAGCATCAGTGCTTTTTATTAGCACTGATCACTGTATTGGTGTCACTAGGGATGTCAGTGACACCAAGTCAGTTCCCCACCATGTCAGAATGCCCGCTGCAGTCGCTGATCGCGGCCATTACTAGAGAAAAAAAAAATTCTAGTATATTATACCATTTGTATACAATTTTTATTAGCACTGTATTAGTGTCACTGGGGATGTCACTGGCAGTCAGTTCCCCCCCCCCCCCAGTGTCAGAATGCCCGCCGCAGTCCCGCTATAAGCTGCTGATTGCCGCCATTACTAGTATAAACATTTTTTTTTTTAATTCCAGTAAATATACCGTCATTTGTAAACGCTATAACTTTCACATAAACCAATTAATTTACACGTATTGGGATTTTTTTTTTTTTAGCAAAGACATGGAGCAGAATACATTTTGGCCTAAATTCATGACAAAATTTATTTATTTTTGTTTTACTGGACATGTTTAATAGAAAAAAGTCAAAAATATTGTTTATTTTCTCAAAATTGCCCGTCTTTTTTTTTTTTTGTTTATAGCGCAAAAAAACAAAAACAAAAAACGCACAGGCGATCAAATACCACCGAAAGAAAGCTCTATTTGTGGGGAAAAAAAGGCCGTAAACTTAAGTTGGGTGCAGCAGTGCATGACCGCGCAATTGTCAGTTAAAGTAACAGCGCCGTAATGCAAAAAATGGCCTGATCAGGAAGGGGGGGTAAATCCTCTGGAGGGAAAGTAGTTAAATCAGCAATCAGAGCTCTCCTCACTGAGCTCTGCAGAGTGTAATTTCAGCTCTGAACTGTCAGACAAGCTTTATAAATTCAGCACTTCGTATAGATGGAGAAGAGAAGACTGCAGATAAACAAGTGTAACTGATGTAGGAAGATTTGTTTCATCTCTATCACCTGAGGCCAGTCACTTCACTGGGTATATGTAAGGGTTTACAACCACTTTAAATCACTTTAGTAATTTCTTTAAGAAACACTAATTAATTTCTGAAACTGTTTGCAAATTATTCCAACACCTGTCTCAATGGTAAAAATAAGAGAAGAGTGTTTTGCATGCCTGAGCCTATCTGCACATTCCACCCCTGCTAAAAGCAGCTGATGGAGAGAAATATGTTATCTTTTATGCACAATGAAGCCAGTTTTGAAGGGATGACTTGTAATCTGTAATATGGACTAGCAGTACAGCAATCCTGCACGCTACATCAACAAGCAACTTTCAGAAGATCAATTGCTGTATGATTAGAAAAAGTAGACCCTCTAACACTTACCCTCCCCTGGTTTGGGGTCCCAGCCCAAACGCTGCCCAATAGGTGAAAAAACATCTCTGATGAAGCCTTGAATTTCCTCATGAAACTGTGTGTGAGATAACAGCGTGGAGAGAATCCCTAAATTACAACTTAAGTCACTCCACACAGTATAATTGGGCTCATTCACAAAGGCCTCCATGACTTTTAGAACTTCAACCGTGCTGATAATGCCTGCTCGAGCCTGTAAGAATACACATGAATGAAAATGGGCCTGTTAGCATTCATAAACAATGTCTTTGGACTATACTAAAAAAAAAAAAAAAAAAAAAAAAAAAATTCCTGGGTAAATAAGTAGATGGAGGGGTGAGTTGCTGAGAAATAAATATCTCACCACAGACATCAGCCCAGAAAACATACATCAGCAGCTATCTCAAAACTTGGAGGAAGTGCTTTGCTAGGCACTTGACCATTACTGGCTGGAGAACTAGCGATAGTGAGAATGTATGTTTCACAACCTCCTTCACCTACATAGTTTTCCTGTATTTTCAACACTTGTCCTATCTTTATACTTACCATAAAAAAAAGGTCGTTCTGAAGCCCAAGCCTGTCTACAGGCTGCAGGGAGAGGTCTCTAATTCCAGGCAGCAAACTCTCCAGCATAGAAGGACTGTACTGGGTACGATAGAAGCCAACAGTTCCTGGATTTAACTAGATAAGATGAGAACAAGGAATCAGTGAAATGAGTCAGACCAATTATGATTTTTGTACACTCCTATTCTCAGCGCTCAATGAGGGATATAGCATGACACTAAGCAATCTATGGCTATACTGCCACCTAAGGAGAAATGGACACTAGACGCCAGTCAAAAAACAAACAGGAACCAAGAGCATTAAATAGCTGGGTGCAGAAACGTTCAACTAATCTAGCCTATGCAGAGACCGACATGTTGACCTTGTAAGACTAGGCGAATATGTGTACAGTAGAGGCCTGATGACAAAAAGCCTAAGAAACACTTACTGTCCTAGTGGAGTGGGCTTTAACAAGACAAGGAGACACTATCTTGCAACAATAACCAGTCAAATCCACCTAAAAATAGTGGATATTGGAGCCAAAGCTTTTTTAGGCCCTTCTGCAATAAAAACGGAATATATCTGCCTAAACGAAGCAGTCACAGAAATGTAAATCCTAACGGCCCATACCACTTCCAGGCAATGAAGAAAGATGTCCCTGAGGTGAACAGATACTGGGCACAGAGAAGGTAACACATTATCCTCATTTAGCTGAAAAGCAGATAACACATTAATAAGCAGATCCTTGATCTCAAAACAACCAATTCTTTTTTTAAGAATGGGGATCCCTACTGGGAAATCCTGGTAGATCAGAAGCCCTTCTAGTTGAACTAATGGCTACAAGAAAGGATGAAGAGGAGTTACCCTCGAAACATGTAAGCCATTTCTGCATCCCAGATCGCGTCTTCTTGGCGTTGCCTCTTCCTGGGTCCCACTATCCACTGTGCCATGAGATGGTGGCTTTACATGCTGTATTTTCTTCATTGTGAGTATGTTTTTAATCCTTATATAATAAAGTACCCCTGGGATAATGCACTAGGCTGGTGTGCCTTCTGTTACTTGTCTTTTTACAGTTATCGGATTTTCTCAGTCGTTAGAGGGCAGCAAGGTTTGACACTCCCTTGAATGTCATTATAAAGAGGCTTGTGCAAATTGACCCTGGTCCACCACAATTATGCGCAGGAGGCATTTTATCATTTCAGTAAAGCAATGAGCCTGTGTAACAAGGGTTGCTTAAGTGCCAAAATGCAAAACTGGCGCAGTTCCTCTTTCCTGCCGCCAGCTGTGCAACCAAAAGTGTTGCAGCCAGAGCCCAGTAATTAACCCTTTTAGCAGGAGAAGAACAAATAAGAATCACAGGTTTCCTGTAAATAAGGGCAAAGCCCCACTCACCGCCATGGAGGTCCTCAGAAGGCCCTGTAGTTTTCACATAGGAATAGAGGCAGGATCCAGGGAACATGCTGTTCCACTACTGGGCATACCTCCTAAGGGCTCATCAAGGACAGGGTTCCACTAGATGGGTGCACCATGGCCATGGACCTGTAAAGCACTCTGCCACATGAGCTGCACAAAAGTACCTTGTCGAGCACTGACAACAGAGTTCAATGGCAAAGGACACATTAAAGGCCAGCCCTGCTACTCATTCTCAGCAAGTTCTGGGTATCCCTTCCACAGCAATGCTGAGGATCAACCAAAGAAAATGAGCCTACTCTGGCTCTGCAGCAGCTTAAGAAACTTCTCCGATAAAAAAAAGAATCCTGATAAAAATTCAGAAAAGTTTTTTCTTCTATCAGAGGACAAAAGACATCCACTCTCCTAGGACACTAGCCAAAAAACTGAAGCAGACTGGAAGTGGGAGGGGTTATACTGGGCTTACTTTACAGTTTTGCTTGCCAGAGTCCAATCTCCTGAGGGCAGCAGCATAATCCAATCTACATGAATGTTTACCATAAGGCAATATTTGATGCAACATTAACATTTGCACATTCTTGCTTCTTGTACAGTTGCAACTTAAATCTTCCTCAACCTTTCAGTTACCCCAAACCCCAGCATTTTTTAGGTCTGCATACATACCTTTTTCACAGGGATTTTCAGTCCAGTCACAAAGTCACGTTCCATTTTCTCCACATTCTTCTGTGAGACCAGGGTTTGAGGCCTAGATGATGTACGCCCAGGGGGAGGGTTCTTAATGCCCTTAGCTCACAGAAGTGGGATGAATGATTTAGCCTACAAGCAGACTGGCCCTAGATCACAGAGTAATGACAGTGCCAGAAAAATACCCAAACATTCTAACTGCATGATAAAGTACCAGAAACTCTAGCATTACTTTACATTGTACTTTCTATGGGGTGTTCTGTGCACAACAGATTCAAGATGGTTTCACAGCAGGTAGTAAGTAATTAAAGTCAAACAATACTAGGTTGGTCCTACTTTCTGCAGTGGTATCTCAATTTCCCACAAAGACCAATACACAGTGCATTTTGGCTCACCTTCACCCACTGGTCTGAGGTCACTCCTTCTAGCACAACTGTCATCTCTGGCTTGTCCATAAGTAATCTTAACTTAGCAGAGGCCGGGGATTCACTGGTGCAGATGCTGATCGGTACCATCCACTGAGGACTCTCCTCACCTGAGCGAGGGCAATAGGAGGATGTTATATGGAGAGAGAAGGGCTGGAGGCTTACCCGCCAACCTATCGTCGGGAGAATAAAGGAGATAAGAGAAATAGGAAGAAAGAAAGGTAGGATAGCTTTGAGCTGCTCCAGAAAAGCATAAGAGAGACTATAATGACAGTATTGTGCCTATAAAAGCACAATATTGTGAGCAACTTGCGATCTGGTCACTCAATGACTGCAGACCACAAATAGGGTCACTCAAAGCCCAGAGGTGGCCCCTCAAAAAAGCATAGCAGGCCTGGTAAGTCTTACCATGGTGAGGACCACTGGCACAAAATTTCTTCTGAGACAGCGTTAAGGTCCTGGAGTCTTCCTTCTGAAGAGAAAGTTCATAGGAATTTAATTAGTGTTAATATACTATTGTCCACGTGCTGATAGCATTTTGCAAACAAAAGATATGACATTTAAACCCCCCCCCCCCAAAAAAAAACTATTGAAGAATGGCCTAGACAGCTAAAGTACCTGTTCCGACTCCACGTATATTAAGGGGAAACCCATCTGTTTGGTCCAGGTGCTCATAACAGCAGCGATTGGCTTCCCACTGGCCTGCTCTAGAGATTCCCATAGATCCTCTGCAGAAAAGAGTACTCAGTTTACAGCTGTGCCAGAGGGAGCTGAGAGGAAGGGAAAAGGGAAGGTAGGTTTGGGTGGTGGCATCACAACCATCACAAACAGGGTTTAAAGACAATACAGCAATTAGAAGTACCTGTGGCAGCATTTTTTTCCTGGAATTTAGTGAGGTATTGGTTCATGCCCCTACGGAAATCCTGCACAGATCAAGTAAAAATTACTACATTTTTTGCTACTTGTATAACATTAAAAATATGCAATGCTGGTAATGACAAGAAGCTGACTGCATTGGTTATTGAAGCACACCTCTCATAACAGAAATACCTGGGCTACAATTGCTGCTGACCTAAGAAAATGGAGAGGGTACCTGATTTTGACAGGTACCCGCTCCCACTTCTGCTCTGACTGCCTAGGCGATCGGAGCGGAAGTTGCCCCTCCTCAGTGTGTGGCCGTTCATTTGATCGTCTTCTGTCGAAGGAGAATGTCAGAAAATTGTACTCAGTGGTTGCAGCTTTAGAGTCTTAGCATGACAGGCAGGCAAGTAGCATTTTCAGAAGGTCAGCAATGGCAACCAACACCACAACAATCTCCAGCAATTTACCTCATCTCCAATGTAGTCATGGAGCATACGGATCACTGATGCACCTTTGCTATATGATATGGCATCAAATATTTCATCCACTTCAGAGGGGTGTCCAACACAGACCTAGACACAGAAAGTAAAGAATATGGAAATATGTTTTTTATATATATATATATATATATATATATATATATTATATATATATATATATATATATATATATATATACACACATACACACACACAAAAAACATATAAATTACAGCTCTCAAGAGTAGCCACTGTACCCTTTTTCAAGGGACCAAAAGTAATTGGGCAACTGAATCAATCAAAAGTGGTTTCATGGACAGACGTGGGCTACTCCATTATCCCTTCATCAATTAAGCAGGTAAAAGGTCTGGAGTTGATTCTAAGTGTGGTATTTGCCTTTGGCATCTATTGCTGTGAACCTACATCATGCGTTCAAAGGAGCTGTCCATGCAAGTGAAACAGGCCATTGTAAGGCTTCAAAAACAAATCCATCAGAGAGATAGCAGCAACATTAGGAGTGGCCAAATCAATAGTTTGGTACATTCTGAGGAAAGAAGAACGCACTGGTGAGCTCAGCAACATAAAAAAGGCATAGACGTCCACAGGAAGACAACAGTTGTGGATGATCGCAGGATCCTCTCTATGGTAAAGAAAAACCCATTCACAACATCCAGACAAGTGAAGGACACTCTCCAGGAGGTGGGCATATCATTGTCAAAGTCTACAATCAAGAGAAGACTTCACGAGAGCAAATACAGAGGGTTCACCACAAGGTGCAAACCATTCATAAGCCTGAAGAATAGAAAAGCCAGATTAGACTTTTCAAAAAACATCTAAAAAAGCCAGACCAGTTCTGGAAAAGCATTCTTTGGACAGATGAAACTAAGATTAAGCTGTACCAGAATGACGGGAAGAAAAAAGGCTTGTAACAGCTCATGATCCAAAGCACACAATGTCATTTGTAAAACATGGTGGAGGCAGTGTGATGGCATGGGCAAGCATGGCTTCCATTGGCACTGGGTCATTGGTGTTTATTGATGATGTGAGAGAAGCAGCCAGATGAATTCAGTGTTTAGAGAGATACTGTCAGTCCAGATTCAGCCAATTGCAGAAAAGTTGATTGGATGGCGCTTCACAGTACAGATGGACAATGATCCAAAACACACTGCAAAAGCAACCAAGGAGCTTTTGAAGGAAAAGAAGTGGAATATTCTGCAATGGCCGAGTCAATTACCTGATCTCAACCCAATTGAGCATGCATTTCACTTGCTGAAGGCAAAACTAAAGGCAGAAAGACCCACAAAGAACAACTGAAGACAGCTGCAGTTAGAGCCTGGCAAAGCATCAGAAAGGAGGAAACCCAGTCTTTGGTAATGTCCATGGGTTCCAGACTTCAGGCAGTCATTGCCAGTAAAGGATTCTCAACAAAATATTAAAAATGAACATTTTATTTATCATTATATTCATTTGTCCAATTACATTTGAGCCCCTGAAAATGGAGGTACTATAAAAATGGTTGCAGTTCCTACAATTTGTATTTGATATTTATGTTCCATTTTTAGATTTTGCCAAAAAAACATCTAAAAAAGCCAGACCAGTTCTGGAAAAGCATTCTTTGGACAGATGAAACAATGATTAATCTGTACCAGAATGATGGTAAGAAAAAAGTGTTGAGAAGGTTTTGAACAGCTCATGATCCAGAAAAAACATGTGTTGAGAAAGACTTCACGAGAGCAAATACAGAGGACCACAAGGTGCAAACCATCATGAAGAATAGAAAAGCTAATTAGACTTTGCCAAAAACATCTAATAAAGCCAGACCAGTTCTGGAAAAGCATTCTTTGGACGGATGAAACTAAGATTAATGTGTACCAGAATGATGGGAAGACAAAATTGTGGAGAAGGCTTGGAACAGCTCATGATCCAAAGCACACAACGTCATCTGTACATAGGAGGCAGTGTGATGGCATGGGCATGCATGGCTTCCAGTGGCACTGGGTCATTGGTGTTTATTGATGATGTGAGAGAAGCAGCCGGATGAATTCTGCAGTGTTTAGAGATATACTGTCAGCCCAGATTCAGCCAAATGCAGCAAAGTTGATTGGACAGCGCTTCACAGTACAGATTGACAATGATCCAAAACACACTGCAAAAGCAACCAGGAGCTTTTGAAGGAAAAGAAGTGGAATATTCTGCAATGGCCGAGTCAATCACCTGATCTCAACACAATTGAGCATGCATTGCACTTGCTGATGGCAAAACTAAAAGGCTGAAAGACCCACAAACTGAAGACAGTTGCAGTTAGAGCCTGGCAAAGAATCAGAAAGGAGGAAACCCAGTCTTTGGTAATGTCCATGGGTTCCAGACTTCAGGCAGTCATTGCCAGTAAAGGATTCTCAACAAAATATTAAAAATGAACATTTTATTTATGATTATTATATTCATTTGTCGGATTTCATTTGAGCCACTAAAAATGGAGGGACTGTGTATAAAAATGGTTGCAGTTCCTCAAATTTGTACTTCATATTTATGTTCAACCTCTTGAATTAAAGCTGAAAGTCTGCAATTCAAATTCATTTGGATTGTTTTGTTTTAATTTATTCTGGTGGCATATAGAGCCAAAAAAGTATGAAAATTGTACCTGTGTCCAAATATATATGGGTGTATACACACACAATATATTTCACACTCATATCCTGTATGGTTCAGTCTATGGTTTTATTTACTGGGATATAGTACCAATCAAGAAAAAAAAAATTGGAGAAGGAGTTTAGGCATTTTTTTTTCCTCAGTGCTGGGTGATATCAATATAGGGTGTAAACTTTTTAATCTGGATTTTATTAATTTTTAATATCAGCTTTGCCCAATCAGCATCACCTTTTAAGTTCCCTCCTCCTATGATGCACTGAACTGAATTACACATGCAAGAAGAATAGCGTTTACAAGTCATTCCTGTGAAATTCAGCTGTATTTGAAGGCGGTTAACATAGTCTAGTTTAACCATTTTAATAGAAGTCAATAATTTAAGGGGAGTTAATCACATCTTGGTGCTCCGGGGAAAGAAATAAATTGGTCCTCAGGAGCTGGAGTGGGGTTACTTAATCCTTGATCAGCACTTGAATAGTGGATTTTGCACATATTGGCCACTATTGCACTTTCTCGGTAAATCTGGCACACAATGAACATGACACACACACATTATCAAATTGCACTGGAGCACGTTTTATTATGAATATTTATGACGGTTGTTTGCCAGTTTGTATATCCAATATTTTCCACTCTAGCAGTAGTCTGATTAAGGTTATAATGGAGGTCTTTTATTTTCCTGTAAAGTGTGGCTTTGAGTTTTTCCATTATTGTCATCTAGATCCTGTCTGGAGGAAGCATGTTCAGGATCACACCCAGCTCTTTACATCTAGCGAACCCAGACAGGCCTCCATGTTGGAGTGTGAGGGAGAAGCAACTGAAGAGGACAGTTGGATCTCTTGTTCTTCCTGGAATCAGCTAGCAGCACACAGCAGAGCGGATGCATGGATAGGGGTCAATAAGTTGGATTTCAGGTGGGGTCGTGTCTAAGGCAGTGCACTTAGAAACACTTGCATTCAAGGCCAGCCATTCAGGAGGCTGCTGGGCCACAGATTCTTCTGTGAGATAGCTGAAAAATGTATGCAATAGGCCTCCATCCACCATCACAAAAACAGGTCCTGGGGGGGGGGGTTGTTCCCTGGGCATTCGTTATTTGAGCTTAATGTGAGGTAAACGGGTCCGGGGTGGGATTCTGCACAGCCTGTGTGCAACATAGCCTCAAGCCACCATTGGCAAGCCATATGTCCCTGAAATCAGTACTGAAGGGTTATTCATAAATTAGTAATGATGCTCTCCTAGGACAAAGTGCTGATGTCAATGGAAAAAGTGCTGATGTCAATGGAAAAACTGGACTTGAAATACAGAAAATGCAGATGTCCTTGAAAACCAAAAAAGACTCCCTGCTGTAGAGAGGTAACCACAGAATAAAACTACTCCATACGGAGCCCCCTCTGTAACCTTTTATGTGCAAAGACTGAATGTATATCACCCTTATTGTGGGCTGTAAACAGGTTTGAACAGAAGCCCTTGAATAATTCCTCAGTAGAATCTGGACCAGGAAAGCTGAGACATCAAGCCTTCTATAGGTCACTGTCATGTTGCAAGGTAAACCTTCCTCCCATTGACTTTCTGGCAGAGGCAGCAGATTTTCCTGAAGAATGTGACGGTATTTTGCCCCTCCAGTTTTCTTTTAATCCTGACAAGTGCTCCAGTCCCTGCTGCAGAGAAAACCCCTATAACAGGATATTCTCATCTCCATGCTTTACTGTAGGAATGGTGTTATTTGGATGATGAGCTGTTTTGGATTTCTGCAGGACATATTTAGTGTTGAGGCCAAATAACTCAATTTTAGTCTCATCTGATCATAACACCTTTTTCTATGTGGCCTCAGAATGTTCAAGGTGCGTTGTGGCAAAACTCAGTGGTGACTGCATGTGGTCTTTCTTGAGGAGTGGCTTTTTTCTTGCAACCCTCCCATACAAGCCTCATTTGTGGAGATATTGTGATATTGTTGTCACATGCACACAATGACCACCTGTGTCGTAAATTCCTGTAACTGCTTCAGAGTTGCTGTAGGCCTCTTGGTAGCCTCTCTGACCAGTTTCCTCCAGGCTCTTTCATCCAGTTTGGAGCAACATTCTGATCCAGGAAGGGTCCGTGTTGAACCAAATACCTTCCACTTCTTAATAATAGGCTTCACTGTGCTTTTAGGTATTGATAAACCTCTTGCAATGTTTTTCTATCCATCTCCTGACTTGTGCCTGTCCACAACTTTTTCCCAGAGATCTTTTGACAGTGCCTTGCCGCCCATATTTCATTGTTTGCTTCAGTTGCCAGGGACTGAAATGCTCCAGGCAAGCATTTTTCATGCTTAGCTAATCAAAATGACCAGAGCTGATCACAGTAGAAAGTCAAATGGCTTTGTGTGCCATTGAGAAGGTGATTAGTTAGACCTGATTGAGTTTACAAGTCATTTTTTAGGAGGGGGTGATCCTTTTTCCAAAACA